ATATATATATATATATATTCTTAATTAAGAATTTTGTTTAGGACCTTAACTTTCACTTAGGATTCATAAATTTTGCTTTCTTTTTTGAAGTCTAGGGAGAGTAAAGGAAAGGACAGTCTTTGTGAATGTTTAACTCCCAAACCATTCCTTGTGCTTAAACAGATTATACTCCTATTACCTTCCTCAGCTTAAGCAAGGGCTTTCATCTTAAAGTCTCTGGATTACAATGTTATATATATATACCAGGACCCAAATAAGATATTTAGCCAATTCTAAGGTGCACATTATGTATTTTTTGATATTAAGATGCATCATACAATCAATGTATACATTTGATGTGATAGTGTACTTGTTTTTCCTCTTAAGGGTTGTCATTAAATAAATGGCACATTTACAATTTGATGATGGTTCAGATTCAAGGAAACATCATATTAACAGGAATGATAAGCATGTAAAGTTGAGCAAAACATACTTGATATAGGTTCAATTACCTCTTTACTCTGAGTCTTAAGAGGGGGATAAAGCAATGAAGGTGGATGTCATCATTAATATACCTACAGGATCAAATTCAAGCTACAAATTGGGATATTTTTATTTTTTGAAAGTCAGCCTACCACTACATTATTGCCCACACTTAATTATTCTTGTTATACTAACTGCTTACTCAAATATGCCGTGCTATTTCATGCCTGGATACTTTTTCATGTATTCTTATCTCTGCTTGGAATGCCATTCTTGGAATCTTGTCCATTGTAGAAATACTATCTACCCAAACAGAGTTGATCTTTTCCTGCTTATGTCACTAGGTACCTGATCTATGAATCTAAATTTGTACTTACCATACTGAACTACAATGATTTATTGGGATCCATCTTCTTTCTTGTAAATTCCTTGAGGAAAATTGACTGTTTCTTATTTATTTTTGTATCTCTAGTACTTAAGACAGCGCCTGGTATGGAGTGGCATTCACTAAGTATTTAAAGACCGAATAAATAAACAAAGAGAAATAAAGACTAATAATGGAAAGAAAGAGAAAAAGAGCAGTATATGAATAGTAAAGTGCCATAGCACCAACAAATGCTTTATTTGCTGCTTCCATTCAGTGGTATCCATGCCTTATCTAAACCTTCTGAACTCCTAGTGGACTTACAACTGTTTACGCTGAGTTTAAGTCTTTTTTTTAATTTTTATTTTTTATTAAGTCATAAATACATAAATCATGTATACATTAATGCATTTATGGGGTACAATGTGCTGATTTTATATGCAATTTGGAGTGCTTATATCAAACTGGTTAACATAGCCTTCACTTCACTTACTGATTGTGTTAAGACATTTATACTCTACACTTACTAGATTTGACATGTACCCTTGGAATATGTACCATAGGTGTTGTCCCACCATTGAATTTAATTCTTAATAATAAAATTAGTTTGTTTATGTTAGTTTTATCTCCTCAGTTGATTATAAATCCATTAGAGGAAAGTAGCAAGTCTTCTTCTATATGTACTTATTACATTATATATTCCTATTATGAAGTGTGATTTAGTTTCCAAGATTCTTCATTCAGGGTGTGTTTATTATTAAAGCTAGTAGCAATTTGCATGAGAGAAATGGAAAGGCTAGCAACAGTTTTATTTATTTGAGGCTTAGAATTCCTCCAGAATTTAGAGCAATCCCTAACACTAGACACCAAACACAATTTTATAGTAATTTAAGAGAGAGATATTCAAATGTTACTGGTAAAACCTTGAGAGCTAATTACTTCAAGATTACTTGAAACCTTAACTCATTAGGGTTTGAAAAATCTCCTGAGGTACTTAAAGTCACTATTCCCATTATGTTACTTGATTCAATTGAATGTCTTAGATTTTGCTATTAAGAGAAAATCTGAAGTTTATGCAAAAGAGAAATTCCATTTATCACTGCTTTAAGGAAAAAATATTAAGCATCTCCTGTGGGCACCTCAGTATTCTATAATGTATTGTAAGAGAGAAGGGAAAAAAATAGAAACATAGCCCCTGAACTCAAAAAATAATTTTTAACCCAAGACTTACTTGTGTGTGTTGTCAAAATGCCCAGACTTTTCAGAAAGATGACTATAATGATGAAATAATCAAAAGTAAGGTGGTTTCTTTGATACCTTTGGTATTGCTATTGCTATTATATATACAAACAGTGACTTGGCAAAGGATGTGCTCCCATATTCTATAGTGTTATTCAGACAGGGGAGCCAAGTAACATTTTAGATGTCTTCTTAGTATTTTTAATCAGAAGTTCAGATTCAAAAACAAGAAGAAAATCCACTTTTAAATCTCTCATTGCAATCTGAGTCATTACAATATAAAAATAAAAGATAAAAACAGATTCAGGTTGGGAGGCTGATGCAAGAGAATCGCCTAAGCCAAAGAGCTAGAGGTTGCCGTGAGTTGTGATGCCACTGGCACTCTACCAAGGGTGACAAAGTAAGACTCTGCCTCTTAAAAAAAAAAAACAGATTCAGGGAAGGAAATATTTCATTCCGATTGCCTTTTATCTCATCAGAAGTTGTATCCAATCAGATGGTATGCGTGGGACACAATGAAGATGAAAGAAAATTCAGTCCAATCAGTTGAGCAGTTTTAACAGGAATAGAAATCCTGTGTTGTGTCATATTATTTTATTATGTTTATTTGTAAATCTTATACAACGTATAGAAATTAGTTTATTTTGTACATGTTACTATTTATTTAATTTTACTTTTTCAGGTGAAGTTTTTGCTATGTTGCCCAGGCTGGTCTTAAACTCCTGGCTCAAGCAATCTTTTCACTTCAGCCTCCTTAGTAGCTGTGATTATAGGTACATGCCACCGTGCCTAGCTTCATGTTATCAATTTTAAAGTATCCATAACACTATTCCCCTAGTATCTGAAACACATCAACCACTATTTTTAGAGAGTTTATAGCCTTGTCTACAATATTTTATATACACACACGCACATAGTCAATTTAGCTACAATAGTCACATAGAAAATGGGGAAGAGGAGAAGAGGCTTACCACGAGATCCTTACAACATGCTGTTGAAGAATCCTTTCTTGTCAATCCCAAGAATACATCCTCAGTTCCCACATGCTGTTTGAATACAATCTCGTATCTGAAAAAATGTCAATGATAATAGAGACTCAGAAGCAAAAGCAATTTCCTGTCACAGAGTGGAAAGCTAGAAACTTACGAGGATACCTATTACAAAAAATAAATAAATAAAGAAAGAAAGAAAGAAAAAGGACTAAATAAATAAAGTGCTTGAAGTTTTCCAAGCATGTAGTAGAATATAAAGGAAAAGAAGCCTAAAAATTGCAGTCAAAAATACCAAACACTGAAAATCAGGATTGTTACTACTTTCTAAGATAAAGTTTAACAATTTTAGAGAGATACAAATAAAATGGATTGAGAGAAATTCTAAGAAGATTCTAATAAGATTAAAAGTGGAAGGGGAAAAAAGGAAGGTTTGTTCCTGGAAAACAGTGGCTTAGAAAAATATCGGGTCCGTAACCCAGGGTTTGATGGAAATTCTGGTCTGCTAAGTTTAAACCACAAAGTAGAGTTAGAAAATCCAGGTTAGTACTGTTTCGGTCATTAACTGTGGGCCTTTGGTTAAGTCACAAATTCATAGGGTCTCGGCTTCTGCATTTGTATGATTTGTGGGAGAGGTTAGTTTGAACTAAATTGTCTCTAAGGTCTTTTCCATCTCTAAAATTTTACAACAGAAACTTTTTTTTTTTTTTTTGCAGTTTTTGGCAGGGGCTGGATTTGAACCCGCCACCTCTGGTGTATAGGGCCGGCACCCTACTCCTTTGAGCCACAGGCACCACGCCTATAACAGAAAATTTTAACTAATAATGCAGTCAAAACAGCTACACTATGGTGTTTAGAATCTAGTCCTATAGACAGTTCAATGGAAGATTTTCCTGGTATTTCACTTTACACCTGGCAAGTCTTTTCTTCTCTCTTAATTTGGGCCCCTAGGGATAGAATGGTTTCTAGAAGTGCCCAGGAGTAAGGTACCTTATCTCTTCCTGTAGCATGAAACAAACCTTTATACATTCTTTTTTTCTGCTTAATTCTACCCTAATGAAGAAATGGCAAATCTCTGGATAGGAAAACTAAAGGACTAGATTGAACTTCTGACCATTTGCAAATAGGAATGGCCTGAGAATAAAGAAGGAATTTTCTCTGAGTTTGAACAAGACTGACAATAAGTAACTATTTGATATGGGGCACTTTCTCTTAATAGAATATAAGATCTCTTAAGTATGTACAAAGGTGAATCCAGGTTAAAACAATCAGAAGTGATTGATCCATATGTTCATGGCACTTCCACATGGATTTTCAGAAACTCCTCCTCTTAATCCTGGGTTCCAGATATAATTTTCCAGCTGCTTACTATATATGTTTGTTCGGATGTCCCAGAAGCACCTCAGAGTCCACATGTACAAAGCCAAATTTACTTCCTGCTTTTCCTTCACCTATAATCCCTATCAAGTCATTGTATCACCATTCACTCAGTAACTCAAACTAGTAATTTTAGTATCATCCTTTGTGCTTTCCTCTCATCCATTTTATCTAAGCAAATACCAAATCTGCAAAATTCTCAAAGATCTCATACTTCTCCCCAAGGCCAGTGCCTTAGCTCAGGCCCTTGTTATTTTTTTTATCTGTGATTCTTCTTTTGTGAACTTCCTGTTCATGTTACTTACTCATCTTCCTCTGTACCCACTGGAACATTTTGAAATACATTTTTAGAAGGTAGAAAATAAAGATAAAAAATCGTATAAAACAATCTCCTCATATCTTGACTGGAGTTATTATTCATTTAAAGCTTTCATGGATGTTCTATCTACAATGACATCAAATATCAGGATGAAAAGTGAAAAATTTACTCAAATTTGAAGCTTACTGCATATGGATGTTTGACATTCTTAAGACAATATGACAAATGAGTGACTGAATTCTTACCTTTTATATGGATATGTGGGCACTGTGTAAACATAAGCTGAGATTTACTCTCTTGGTTCTTAACATGCAGACAGAAATACTGTTTTAAAATCTCCTTTGATTTTTTCCCCTTTGATTTTTATGTTTATGATTTTGACATTGTTTACTTGAAAGCTAAGTACTTTCCTAGTTAGTTATCTGCAGTTTCCCACTGCTTCTATTTTCAGAATTGATATAGAAGATGGAAGCACAATTTTTTCCTGTTTTAACATTGGACAGTTTTGTAGTCAGAATTAGAATTAGAAAAGTTGTCAGATCACTTGCCATAAAAGTCTTTAAGTATTTATAAAGTACATTATAATTTAGTAAATATTGGCTTTTTTCTCTTTTCTAGCTATTCTAAATATTCAACCAAGATTTTATTTCTAAATATGTATATATAGTTAAAGCTTAATCTATTTGGCTACTTTATTTTTATTCATTTTTATTTTTATTTTATTTTTTTTTTTTGAGACGAAGCCTCAAGCTATCCCCCTGGGTAGAGTGCCGTGGCATCACAGCTCACAGCAACCTCCAACTCCTGGGCTCAAGCGAGTCTCCTGCCTCCGCCTCCCAAGTAGCTGGGACCACACGCGCCTGCCACAACGCCTGGCTATTTTTTGGTTGCAGCCATCATTGTTGTTTAGCGGGCCCAGGCTGGGGATTCGAACCCGCCACCTTAGGTGTATGTGGCTGGCGCCTTAGCCACTTGAGCCACAGGCGCCGAGCCCATTTTTATTTTTTTAATTAAATCATAGCTGTGTACATTAATGCAATTATGGGGTACAGTGTGCTGGTTTTATATACAATTTGAAATACTTTCATGAACTATGCATATAAATATACTTTAAGTTCTTTAAAAGTATGAGTGATTCTAAAATCAGAATGAAAGGATTTTTATGATAATTCTAAATTTCATATTTACAATTTGATGATCTTGAAAGGATATAAAGCAAGACTTGAATCCTGCTTGTAAAATACACTGAATACTAAGTTTAATCATGAAACATCTAGTAAATAAGTCTAAGTGGTAACTGATAATTGGAGGAATCTTTTACTGAAATTGAAGAACAGTTGAGTAATTAAAAGCAGGTCTCTGACTCATAAACATGGCATCGAAATTTAGTTGCTTGCAATTAATGGGTCGGTTTTATCCCACTGTTAGTTCCACATTATATAACTCACTGACATTAAATATAAATTTATAATGGAAATGACTGTATTTTTCTTTCGGTTATTATAAATAATAACCGAAAGGAAGATGTTATGTTTTATCATTTATTTCTATTCTAGAAGGAAAAAAAATCATCAATTACCTGCCTTCTGAGTGTTGCTGCAGTTTTATCTTTTTTGTGGCATAAGTTACATTATGAATCTTGTCAAAAATAGAATAGTATCAGATGACACATCTTACTTAAACCCCTAAACACATTTCTGGCTCTATTTGACTTACTCTGGGATTTCTCTAGCATCCCAGGAATCCTCGTGCTCTGATCCTTCTGGAACCTCTTCTGGATTCCAGATGTCCTCTCTATTTTCCTCACTGGTTTCAGGGATGACTGTGAAGAAAGGGAAGATAAAACTGAAGCTGCTGGTTGTTTTCCTCCTCTAAATTGCCCTGTTCTTCTTCACCCTCAGTTTGGGATAACTGAAGTAAACCATTCTCTCTATTTGTAATCACTAGCTCTTTGTTTCTGGTCAAAACAAGCTAAAGTAATAACAACCAACGTTAGATACTTTTGTAATACAGAACAAATACATTGCAGAATTGTAATAATGATTGTAGAAAATTTGGAAAAAGCACATAAATAAAAAGAAGAAAATAATCTACCATCCAACTGCCTGGAGATAATCAATGTTAGCATTCTGGGGTATATCTTTCCAGTCTTCCAGTTTTAATCTCTCTTGCCCCCAATCCCTGTCTCTCTCCATATATATACGCAAATCAATATTACATAGTTTTTTTCAGAAACATAAATAAGATGTAAAAATATAATCAATCCGATTTGAATAGAAATGTCTTATCTTACATTGTGTTTTACTATACAAAAAATCCTTTGATATCTTTTCCATGCAAATATGATATAATTCTTGAAACAATAATATCAAAGAAACTGAAAGCAGTGGATACAATGATTTTTTTTTTTTTTTTTTTTTTGGCAATCACACTACACAGACATATTGTCTCTTACTGACAGCAAGGTAGAGAGGAAAGACGGAGATCCAGGGTGAGAAAGTGACAACATGCACAACGGGAGCCACATGAGATGAGGTGACGACCACTGGTATGCAGGTCCCCTTGTCACAGAGTCCCTCACAGCAATCCAGGAATGACAGGCACAATGATTATTTTTTAATCAAGTATTTTCCTCATATAGACATGAGCTTTAAAGAGAATCTATCATTTGTTCTTTATGCAGAACTGAGCATGTGCTTGGGTTTCTACATGTCATCTTTAAATATTTAATAGTAGATATGCTCCAGGAGGTATGCAAAAATCCAGCTTACATTTGTTCTAACTATTGTGGCATCAAATGGAGACCAGCATTAACTGCAGAACATTACTTTGAGTCCTTTTAAGTATTCCCAGAAATGTACTCAATTGCCGGGTTTTCAATTCTGCCAGTTCTTCTGAAATTATCTGCTTCTATCTCGCATGAACTTTGTCTAACTATAGACTTATATATAAAATTTTACATATGAATCATTACCCTTGGAATTTAGAGATTATTAGACTTACATTATCAGAAATACAGACTGCACAGAAATACATCAAATTTGAACTAGTCCTTCATGAAGTGAATATCACTTGAGTAAGGCAAATAGCCTCTTGAATATGTACAGCAGTAATAACTGAAATTTAAAAACCATCCTTAGACCTCATTGTAGCCATTATTTTTGACATTTTTCCAGATAAAATCTTCCACAATTAGCTAAATTGATGAACAAAATTCACTTCTTCTCCCTGCTCATCTTCTGGTTAACAGTAATCATGACCAACAGAAAGCCTTCTATATTTTTCAAGATTTGTAAAATGTTCAACTCTGTAAAAATGTATAGGCCAAAATACTGGGGAAAACATAAAAAAAGTATTCTAGTTTATTAGGCCTATGATTTTATAAGTAGCCATGCAAACTTTATAAGCATGTTAATGTAAGATAAAATTATATAGATTTTTATTGTTTTCCCTAAAAATCTATTAGGCCAATCAAGGGAGGAACTCTTTCTGTTTTGATATGCATCATTTTGATCATATTGCCTGATACATAATAGGCTTTCAGTGAATATTTATTGAAGCTAAGTGTGGTAGCTCCTGCCTATAATCTCAGCACTTTAGGAGGGACCAACATGGGAGGATTCCTTGAGGCTAGGAGTTTGAGACCAGCCTAGGCAACATAGCAAAACCCCATTTTCTCAATAAATAAATAAATAAATAAATATCTGGGTGTGATGGCATACACCTGTATTCTTAGCTACTCAGGAAGCAGAGGTAAGAGGATTGCTTGAGCCCAGGAGTTCATGGCTACAGTGAGCTATGATTATGCCACTTCATTTCTGGCTGGGCAATAGAGTGAGACCCTGTCTCAAAAAAATATTGAATGAATTAATGGATTAATTCTATGCAATTGCAAGGATATAGGAGGCTAGAAGGTGAAGAAGCTAACTAAGCATCTTGGTATATAGTCCTTTAAAAATAAAAATTATCTGATCACACATCACTTTCTTGGGCTTCTATCTCAGAAAATATGCCAAAGCATGTGGCTAAACCTAGGCATATATGCATTTCCATTATTTAAAAAAGTACTTACCTCCAGCAGTAAAGTAAAAACATCCTTATATGTAAATGGCTATTTATCATTTCCATGATTATTTTAGTTCAACTTTTTTCTTTTTTATTCATTTTTAATTAACAAGAGTATATATTTATGATGTACAGCATTATGTTTTGAATTACATATGTGTGTGTGTATATATGTATACGTATATATAGAGAGTGGGAATGGTTAAATCAAGTTAATTAACATATATGTATTACCTCATATACTTATCATTAATTTGTGATGAGAACACTTAAAATCTACTCTTTCAGCAATTTTCAAGTATACAACATGTTGTTATTTACTTCATCTTAATAAGTACTAGTGTAGTATTACTCTCCCTATAATTTTGCTGCCAAGGAAAAGATTATATTGATCTATATTGCTTTGTTACCTTCGAGCTCTTTCTCTTCCTTTTTTGGTGGTCCAATATTCCCAGGACCCATGGCTCCAGCAAAAGATGAACAATTTGGCTGGAGGAGAAGAAAAGAAGTCCAATTATTGCTGGTATGATCTATATGACTAGTAATATTTTAAATTTGATAAACTTTCTATCTAAAAAACTCATAGTGCTTTCCAGTTCAATTACCCATCATTACTATACAACAGAGAGACAGATGCCAAGTATTATTTTGAATGTGCTTTCCTTGTCCTTTCAAAAAATATTCTTTTTAATAGACTCTAGGGTCGAATTGATCTTTAGTCAGACTAAATCCCCAGTTTTAGCTCAGTGAATTATGTATCCCTGGGGATGAAGAATGAGCTGCCTTCATCTCTATGAAGATCACAACCTAGTGTTAGTGTAAAAGCATTAACACTTTGGGGTTTTAAGTGTCTAGTTGTAGTTAGATGGGGATAGAAGTATGGGAAAGTAGAGGCTAAGCATTTAGACTTCTACTGATCCATTCAAAAGCCCTGATAACTGCTTTTAATTCTTTTCACTCTGGGTATAAAGCACTTTTCTCTCCCGCCACCTCATGACACTTAACGAGTGGATTTAAACAGCAGCTCCAAATTAATAGTGTCAAATATCTGCTGAAGCATTTCAGTCTTCATACAAATTTATTTTGTCATCTTCTGTACAAGCATGTATACCCCCAACAGGATTGCCCCTGACTCAACAGTACAAGATCAATCTTCATTTTTTTTCAATTAAATATAACATCACCTCACTGGCCCCTCTCAGGGATTTTTTTTTTTTTGATATTTCAAGAAAATCCTAATTTCTAGTAAGGACAATTTTATTAATAATTGTTCTTACTGATGTCAGACCCTACAGTCTCAACTCACTCCATTGCTGGAAGCAAAAACATTCTTACTTTGTTGGGTGCTAGCCAACAATCACCTCTCTCTCTACTTTCACAGGCCCCTGTCTTCAACTCCTAAGGATTCAAACATGTACAGAAGTTGGAATGTCCTGTTTGGACAAGAGAATCTTGTCTGTCCTTGAAAGCTGGTGGAACTGCTCACCTGGGTCTTTATTATGCTAAACTATTTCAATAATTATAAATCAAAAATTAATCTACAACATCTCAAGTATCTGAGGCAGTAACCATTCCTTTCCAAAAAGGTGTTTCAAAAGTGCTATGTCTGCAATAAAGGTGTTACAGACATTTTAATGTGAGGATCCCAAGACAATATTCAGGACTTTTTTTTTCTTTTTAATCACAAAGGTCATATAAATGTGTATTACTTTTCTTAAATTATTAATCACTGGAATACTAATAGTCAATCAGGGTAAAGCCTTTCTCGAAACTTGAGGGCCTCTTCTTTTGCTGAGTGCCTCCTTCCACAGAAAATTTAAATCAGTAGAATTAAATCTTGGACATTCCTGACAAAAATTGGTATGCTCTCCATGGACAGTGATGATTGGATCAGTACATCAGAGTTTCAATTTATTAACTTAATGAAAATAAATGACTAAAAATAAAATTTTTCAAGTGAAAAGACAGAATAGGATAATAAAAACACTAAAAACCATCTGGTAATTGTTTTCTGTAAGAACATCATTTGAGCCTTTACCATGAATCTACAGCCAATTATCTGAACAATTTATCATCGCAATTCATGCCACTTTGTAATATATAAGACAACCAGAATAGTGAACCTTATTTCCCATAGGTCTTAAGATCCTCTCATGAGTTTGAAAAACTATAGATATAGACCCTTCCAATCTTCCAGGTTCTTAACAATTCATAAAGAAAAGGAATAGTGTAAATGAACCAATATGTATGCAACAGTTTTTTTGCTGTTTTAAGAGACTGTGTTTTCAAAAACAAATCACTCTTGTAATCATCCCTTAGTCCCCAAGATTAATATATGTTAAAAAATGAAAAGGAGTTTCTCTCCTAGAAAATTTAATGGTTTATTAGAAACATTAATTATTCTCCCACTGTTCTGATACTCTAATTCTATATCCTCTAATAATATCTGTACTATGGCATCTGCATGACCAATTATCTCAAAATTGCTTATAACCCAGATATACAGAATCATACATTATTATAGTAATTTTCCTTTATAAGTTGTACAATTCAGTAAAATGATGTTAGTTTCTCTATTCTCATGAACACTCATCTTTCCTCCTAGAAACACCTCTAGATGCAAATAAACATCTCTAGCCATAAATGCCAAAGGGAACAAGCTTTGTAACCAGAGTAAATCCTTATCTCTGAATCTGTTCCAGTTACAAATTCCCCTTCACTTTTACTCAAGATCACCATTCCTCAAGTACTTAATATTCCTTTTCCATATGTCATAACTCTCTCTTTCCCAGGATGTAGGCTCCAGAAAATTATCATCTCGCTATTTCAAGTAAGGTAGCAAAAATGAGCTTGCTTTCCCAATTTCATTAACAACGTTGCTTACTTTTTTCTCCTATGTCCTGTTTATTGGCTATATTAATGTCCTGATTTTCTTTATTTGTTTGGCCTCTACTAATTCTTTTCCCTGATTAAAGCTTCCTCGTTTTTGATTCTGATTCCAAGGTGACTCAGTTCCTCTCTTCTACAAATTTTATTTCCCTTTCATGTTTTATTTAGTTCTGCCCTGTTCCTCCTAAACTCTTCCCTGAACAATGCAAGTTCAACCCTGTGTCAATATGAGCCACTGAATTTTCTGCCTATTCAGAATATGCTTACTTTTGCATATTAAGGCAACAACAATTTTTTGAAAGGAATAAATTGATACATCTGTAGAAGATGATTTATTCATGGTAAACTGGTCATAACAACAAAATAGTTCACTGAAATAAATTTATGAAAATTAATACATTCTGTTAGGAGATTTTTGCCCCAAATTTTATTTGTCTTATCATAGCAGTCTGAGAGCCAAGACTCACTGATATTTAAGGAGTGAGAGAATCAAGAGCAGAGAGTTATTAAAGGGCTTTTGGTGTTTGGGAACACTGGTGGTGACCTTAAAGAGGTCAAAGGTCAGTTCAGGAAACTTTTCTACCCAAAACGAACCCCAAGTTGTTGCTGCAAGCCTTGCTGGCATTACCTGTCCTGATCTCAAATGCTACTCAACTAATTAAATGCCACAGCTTTATTTTAGCATGTATCAGAAAGCCAATTTTGGTAGGCTAAAGCTAGTTTGTACCATTATTTGGCTCAAAATATTTTGTTTGGCTTTCAAGTATAGGCAAATTAAAAAATATATAAGAGATTGGTATTTGTGGGTGCAACTAATCCTGTATAATTGAAAATATTTGCTTTATGGAAATATTGTCTAGGCTTAAACAGTCCTATTTACCACTTTGCAATGGTTGTCAAGCATTCTTAGGCCATAAATATAAATGACAAACATTTTGAAATGTGGCTATTGCTACCATAGTTACAGAACTATTTTCCTATTCAGTGTTCAGGTGGTTTAGAAAAAATATAATTATGTTTGCTAGAAATGTACTAGAGGTTATACTCTCATGCATAATAAGCCTCGTAGCCTCCTGTGAACATATCAGATGACACAGTCCTGCTCCCACATTAGAGTGGGAACAAATTGTTCAAATACAGTTCCAGAATTTCCCATGAATAGAACTAATTTATCTATAAGTATATGACCACCTGTCCAAAGTCAAAATCATCCTCTTCTTCAGGATTAAGGAGTTTAGAAAGAGCTTGAAAAGCAGTAATTGAAGAAATAGTCTCAATTTCCAGATTTTCAGATTCTATATTGTCTGCTTCCAGATTTTCATTTTCTATATTGTCTGCTTCCATATTTTCGGATTCTATATTGTCTGCTTCCATATTTTCAGATTCCATATTCTGAGGAAGAAGATAATCAGAAAGAGATATTTTACTTTTATTTTTTTTAAGACTTGAAAATTTTGTATTGTCATATCACCCTTCTTTCTCTTGGTCACCCCTTTCTTTTACACTTCCTGGAAAATCCTTGTAAAATCCTTTAGATATACATTGTTTGCTAACTCACAGACCTGGAACAGCAAGTAAACTCAAGCATTCAGCCTGTTTTACTAAAACATCATGCCAAACCGAACAAGCATTCATTGAGCACCTACTATAGTGATTCTCAGGTTTTAGTGTGCTTAAGAATCACTTGGGCAGTTGGTTAAAAATGCAGATTCTGGCTCGGCGCCTGTGGCTCAAGTGGCTAAGGTGCCAGCCACATACACCTAAGGTGGCGGGTTCGAATCCAGCCTGGACCCGCCAAACAACAATGACAGCTGCAACCAAAAAAAATAGCCTGGCGTTGTGGCGGGTGTGGTCCCAGCTACTTAGGAGGCTGAGGCAGGAGACTCGCTTGAGCCCAGGAGTTTGAGGTTGCTGTGAGCTGTGAAGCCATGGCACTCTACCCAGGGGGATAGCTTGAGGCTCTGTCTCAAAAAAAAAATGCAAATTCTTAAGCCCTACCTCTAGAGGAAGTGTGTATCAGTGTCATATAGATTGTGCATCATTATTTGGGAACATATTATCTTAGACTATTTTTTTGATCTATCTCATATATGCTATTTAGGCTATATATTCCATTTAGCCAAATGAAAAAAGTGTTGATTGGTGGATGTGTCTCCACGACCTTTACTCATTTCACACTTTTGCCTCAGGCAGGCCTACATCTTCTGCTTTATTTCAATTCTTAATTAACCCTTGATGATGCCTAGCATATTGACATTTCAGAACTCTAATGGATTTGTTCACTGACTTTCTAAAAGTCAATGAAATAATTGTTTTTCTGTTTATGACAGTGACACTATGTATGTCTATTGTGAACATTTTAGGAAATACTACATTAAACATAGAACTAAGAAAACTACTATAATTCTACCTTCCAGTCATCATTTGTTCAAATAATCTTTGCAGGCTGGCAGTGTTGGCTCGTGCCGGTAGTCCTAGTACTTTGGGAGGCATAGGCAGGAGGATCATATGAGGCTAGGAGTTCAAGATCATCCTGGGCAAATAGTAAGATCCTATCTCTAGAAAAGATTGAAAAACTTAGCTGGGCATGGTGGTATATGCCAGTAGTACCAGCTACTTGGGAGGCTGAGGCAGGAGGATTTTTTGAGCACAGGAGTTTAAGGTTGTGGTGAGCTATGATGATGCCATTGTACTCCAGCCCAGACAATAGAGTGAGACCCTGTCTCAAAAACAAAACAAAACAACCAACCAAATATTTGCAGTTATAGTTGGAGTAGGAAATTCAGGGGCTTTAAAAAGCATGCAGGTATCAGACTCTAGTGAATAATCTGAATAAATTCTATAGAATTAGGCTATTGTTTGTGATTTGGGCATATATGATAGGAATTCTTCTACAGTTCTGCTGATATTTTTTGAAACACTGTTTTACAAAACTAAATCACAGGAAACATTTCTTTAATGCTTTTATTTTTTATTTATTTATTTTTTGGTTGTAGTTTTTGGCCGGGGCTGGGTTTGAACCCGCCACCTCCAGCATATGGGGCCGGCACCCTACTCCTTTGAGCCACTTTAAATGCTTTTATTAAATGATCCAAGAAAAATTTTCCATTGTGCTCAGGTGAGTAATACAAAGGGGTCTCAAATGTGTGCTGGTATAGTCATCTGTCAAAATCAATCTGCATGCAAATAGTGTTTTACAAATCTTTTGTTTTATTATTATTTTGACTTTCTTTTTAAAATAGAAAACTCATCCTAATATCTATTGCAGATGTCAAGGGTAAGAAACAAATATAAATTGCACAGAGGCAATATATCATAATGGTTAAAAGTCAGAGCTCTGGATTTGTATCCATCATCTACTTTCTTAGCTCTTTCACTTTGGGCACATTATTTAAACTCTCTAAACCTAATTTTCTTTATCTGTGAAATAGGGACAATAATAGGGCATATCTCTTAGTGTTTTTTGAGGATTAAGTAGCCTATTAATACACATAAAAGACCTTGGAAAGGTGCCTGGCATATATAGTAAGCACTCTACATATGTCAGCTATTATTAGTTCTTTGAAAGTTTAATTTTGCTGGGTATGACTATTATGTCTAATAATGATGTGGAATAAGCCAATGATAAAACTCACTACATTGGAAACTCATTAAATTGGAAAAAGTGAAATAAAAGGTGATAAAACCATCTTCTCTCACAATAGGGTCTGGTAGTCTGCCATGGAAATTAATAATTGACACAAACTAAACAAAGAAGCTCTTGTTTATACTTTAAAATTCCTAGCTGATTATGTGTTCATCAAATATTTACCTAACATTAAAAGCAGAAAGTTTACTGTAACATTTTCTGCCTTTGACAATGACAGGGAAAATGCATCCAGATATCAGATACAATGATGCAATTAGTATTTTGAAATGAGACTGTACAAACCAGACTTTAAAAGCCAAACATGGCAGAAATGGTCTATAATACCAGCATTACCTACTTTACAAAATTGTTGTGATGGTCAAATTATGCAGTGTAGGTAAGACTCTGGTAAAACATGAAAAGCTATATAAAACATCATTATTATCCGGCATATAGTGCCAACACCCACGGATTTTTTTTTTATTAAATCATAGCAGTGTACATTAATACTATCATGGGGTACAATGTACTGTTTCTGTATACAATTTGAAATACTTTCATCCAATTGGTTAACATAGCCTTCATGTCTTTTCTTAGTTATTGTGTTAAGACATTTATGTTCTACAATTAGAGAGATTCACATGTACCCTTATAGGATGAACCATTTTGATCACAGTTTGTGAGAACTCAATGGTGGAGCGATGAAAAGAGAATTAACTGGGACCAGTAAAGCTAATCTATAAAAAGGTATTTAGAAGTCCCAAGTATAGTGCCTGAGGTAGTAATCTGAATTGTAATTCATGTAGTCTTATCTGCTTCAGGGACATGGCAGCAGGAGATTCTAGATATGAGCAGTGCTTCAGGACAAGTCGTGGTTATAGGGAAACTTATTTAGGGTGAAGTAGGACCCTGACCCATAGGTGGAGAGTATTAGAGGCAGGTTTCAGTTCTTGAGGATTGTGGGGGAGTTAACAGCTAGATGAAGGTTCAGAAGAGAGCAGGGCTCAAAGTTCCAGCCAGAAAAGAGAAAACAAACCAGGTACTGCATCAGCAGTTTTCTCATGTCACCTAGCCACCCACAGTGGAGGTTACGAAGGAAGTGTACCTATGGTTCATTAGGTACACTGGATATTGGATTTAGGAAAAGTAAATTAATTCTAAATCCTTACCGGTTAGTTGGGAAGGAACTCTGGCCTGGTTCTCATTAGATGAGAAGCAGGGCAGTGTGGGCAATGTGAAGCTATCCCTGCAGACTGAACATGTTCAATAACTGGAGCTGGCACACAGTCAGAAGCTGAATACTGAATGAAGCATGATTAAATTCATATGAATATTGTATTTCAAAATAGTCCCTTGGAAGGTTATAGATTGATGTAAATTGTGCTATCAATGCTCAAAATATTTTGGAATTGCTTTCATACGTATCACCAAGAAAACAGGGATCATTATGGTATCATTCAGTTTGATTACACATCAGATTTGTCTCTAAGAGATTTCTAGATATATCTAGATATCATTGCTTTCAAAATATGAAGATTTGTAGTTTTTTTGAGGATATTCAAAGAATATGTTACAGGCCTCAAAGTGATTCTAAAAGAGTAGTTTCAAAAGTAATCTCGGCAATAGCAACATCATTAGAACAAGTAGAGAGCTTCCGAAAGTGGCTACTTTGAAGAGATTGTCATACTTTGGGATGTGTGTATGTTTGTGATTGTTAAAAAAATCGTTCACAATAACTCTTAGCAACACTTTTTATATCTGAAGCACATTAGGCATTTGACTTCTTTTTTTTTTTTTTTTTGAGACGGAGCCTCAAGCTGTCCCCCTGGGTAGAGTGCCGTGGCATTACAGCTCACAGCAACCTCCAACTCCTGGGCTCAAGCGAGTCTCCTGCCTCTGCCTCCCAAGTAGCTGGGACCACAGGCGCCCGCCACAATGCCTGGCCATTTTTTGGTTGCAGCCGTCATTGTTGTTTGGCGGTCTGGGCTGGAGATTCGAACCCGCCACCTTAGGTGTAGGTGGCTGGCGCCTTAGCCGGTTGAGCTATAGGCGCCGAGCCGGCATTTGACTTCTTAAAGTCCAATTGAACTTCCAAATTATGCTGGCATAAAATGGCATAGATTTGCACTGTAGCCAAATTGGAGTGAAAATATGATAATAAAATTAGCACCTTAGCAAAATAATTTTTACCATATCAAATGCAATAATGATCTTTAAACACCAATTAATAAATCATGACAAGTTTGTTGATATTGTGTTTTTTAAAACAAAATAATCACAAATACTTTGAGAATAACTAATTAAATGGTTCAAAGTATCAAAAGAGAAAAACAATTATGTAAATGTTTGGAAAAACATTCTAAATTCAGTGAAAATGAAGATCCTACTAGCTTCTTTAGAAGTCTAACACATTAAGAATAACTTAGTAAACTTTGATAAAAATATTAAAAGGTTCAGTTGACACAAACATTGCATCTGAAAAACTAAAGCAAGATGCCTTTTTATGAACTACGCAATGTTAGTTTGTGGGGCTTTTATTTGTAAATTTTACATACATACTCAAGTTTATCTTGAATCTGGCACTCAAGGTCTTTCAGGATATAGCTCCAACCTAATTTTCTGCCCTTCCCTCCTATTATTTTTCTATAAGCATTCTTCATTCTGTTAAAAACTAAACTACTTGTTAAACATACATAGTAATCTGGGAAAGAGGAAG